TTTCTAGTGAACAACCTTGAAAAAGAAACATAGGACTTTCTCTGGGGAAGAAGCAGGATCTTTGTGGTTTTTTTGTTTGTTTGTTTTTTGAGTTTTCCTTTGGTTACATATTGAAGGCAAAGGTGAGCTGGACTTACAGTCAAAACGGATAGGGGTGAGGAAGGAAGAGGGGCCATGGCTGGGGTTGGAGAGGGAGGCAAGCCCTCCTCAGCCCCTCCACCCCAATGAACACATGTCTACGTGGGGTGGCAGTCCCTCAGTCTCATCTCTCCCACCCTCCACAGCACCAAACAAAAGCAGCACCTCTCCCAGGGGCTGCTCCCCACCCCAACCTGGGCTGTACTTTCAGTGGTTTTCAGCAGTCCTATGGCTCAGGGGGCCACGGGGTGGGGGAGGTAGCCCATCAATCTCAAGTGGACAGGATACTCTATTGTTTTGAAGAAAAAAAAAAGAAAGAAACTTTCCCAAGCAGCTCCTGAAGTATCTCTCTTGTAGGTCCTAATTTTAAAAATCAGGGTTTTATAAGAGTTCTTCAGATGTGACACAAACCACTGTATGAACATCCTTATTAGATTTACTATGCAAGAGTACTAATAAAACCATGAAGATCAAGCTGCATGAAGTGTTCTGAGTAAGAGTCCTTTTCTCTAACCCAGGAATCTCATGGCTTCTACAAAACACCTATAAAGAATATTGTGGCAAATTAACACTACATGGCAAACAGGGTAAAATCTAGGAAGTTCTTGCTTCTTGATAAACCTATCTTTTTTTAATTTTTATTTTTTGTGAACATACTGTACAGAGAGGTTACAATTACATGGGCAAGATAATGAGTACATTTCTTATCAAGCATTGCAGCCTCCTCCTTTGTTTACCCTTCACATCCCTTCCCAGCCTCCTCCCACTCCCCCACCCAATCCCCCCCCCCACCAAAGTTGTAAAGTTTGTTGATAAACCTATCTTTGGTACCAAAAAAAAGAAAACCTTTTTCTTCATCTTACAAAAATTACTAATGAGATTTTCATATGACTGTCCCAAAACATCTACATTTCCTTTCTTCATTAATGACTAAGAATCCCAAAAGCAAATTAGTAACATTCTCTTAAACTGTGCAGATCACTAATAAACCCTTATGCATTACCCTTTACCTCACTTTCTTTATCTATTTAACTATTATATGTATTAATTTTTAAATGCATACGAAAACAGTTTTATAATAGAAAACATATTCATGCCAGGCACACTGATGGCTCAAACACCTATAATCCTAGCTACCTACCCAGGAAGCTGAGAGCTAAGGATCATAGTTCAAAAATCAGCCTGGGCAGAAAAGGCAATGAAATTTTTATCTCCAATTAACCACCAAAAAGATGGAAGTAGAGCTACCGCTCAAATGATAAGAGTGCTATCCTTGAGCACAAAAGCTCAGGGACAGTGTCTAAACAATGAGTTCTGGCCCAAGACTGGAACCAAAAAAAGAAAACATGCTTACAGTAAAATAAATGATGTTATTTGATACTAAGAAAGAAAATAAGAATGTTACACAGGGATCAGATTGTAAAAAGCTCTGAGAATGGGGCAAGTTTGAATGTTGCTATTTGTGTAATAAATTTAACAAAGTATATTCTTAGAAGATTTTCCTCTATTTTTGTTGTGATCAGACAGGAAAAAATAAGCTAATAATCTAAGTATATCCCAAAGAATACAATTAAGTAATACCACAAAAGAACTACATAATTGGAAAAGGTATCTGTAGGATCCTGGACAAAGCTACTATGGCATTTACAAACAATTAAAGGTTAAAGTGCATTAAACAGCTCCATTTTACAAAGTTAGGCTCAGATTCAACACAAAGTTAAATAAATATAAGGTTTCTTTTGCTTTTATAATCAATAATCTATCATGTCATTACAGTGTTATTTTATAGTTGCAGAAAAAATTCCTAAATTATACTGATATAGTCATTTCCAGTTTTCAAAAGTCTCTCAAAAATGATAGATTCCCCACAAAAGATCAGGGGCAGTGTCAGGACCAACATTAAGAAAAGAAAGGAAGTGGGGAAAGAAGAGGTGAGTAGAGGAGTGGAGGGGAAGGGAGAGGAGAGAAGCCTAGTGGAAAGAAGTTAGGTCGCTCAATGGAGGTGAGAGATAGTATGGAATAGGGTCCTTTAAAAGATTGTTAGAGGGCTGGGAAGGTGGCTCAGTGGTAGAGCGCTTGCCTTGCATGCATGAGGCCCTGGGTTCGATTCCTCAGCACCTCATAAGCAAAAAGAAAAAAGCCAGAAGTGGTGCTGTGGCTCAAGTGGTAGAGCACTAGCCTTGAGCTGAAGAGCTGAGGGACAGCGCTCAGGCCCAGAGTTCAGGCCCCACGACCAGACCCAAAAATTAAAAAAAAGTTGAAAGTCGAACTGTGGCTGAAGTAGTAGATTACTAGCCTTGAGCACAAAAACTCAGGGACAGTGCTCAGCTCCAAAGTTCAAACCTTGGGACCAGCACATACACCAAAAAAAAAAAAAAGATTGTTAGAGCTTAGCTCCTTCCTATCTCTCTTACTGCTTCTTGGCCACCATAAGGTAAGAAGCATTTTCCATCACACCTCCAGTCATATGTACTGTCTCAACAGAACAAGCCCCAAACAAGAAGACTGAGTTAGTAAGGACTAAAAACTAGAACCATGAAACAAATATTTAAGTTTGTCAGTGACATAAATATGACTAACACAGTGTTCATGGATTTATCTTCAGTTATCTTAGACAAAGTATTACAGTCTATAACATAAACTTTACAGTATGGCATCTGATACATGTAATGCTGACTATAGGTACAAGTTACCAAAACTGTACACCCAAGAAGAAACCCTTACCATTTATAACATAGATTAAGGTTGACTCTAATTTTATAGGATATTTACAGTTAAAGAGAATGTTTAAAGAGTCAGCCCTGTTATTCTTTATTCTTAGACTTCTATTTGGGGATAGGATATCCCCTATGTTGGCCTCTACAGACATAAAGACACAAAGGCCATAGTCTATACCTCTTAACCCATGTACTAGAGATTCAGATGAAGAGTAGACCGTGTGGTGGAGGATATTCCTGAAGAGTGCTTCCTATATATCAACCTAATATCCTGGCTACAGCAACAAAAATCAAAAGAGTAAATTTCTTGTCATTTAACATGTGTATTTCCAAGCCAAGAAATGCAAATTAAGTGGAGCTTGGGGAATATGTGTATCTTGCCTTTCTAAACTGTCCCTGTAACTTTTTTTTTTAAAGCATAAATTGGGCTGGGAATATGGCTTAGTCATAGAGTGCTTGCCTAGCATGCATGAAGTCCTGGGTTCAATTCCTAAGTACCACATAAACAGAAAAAGCTAGAAGTGGTGCTGTGGTTCAAGCAGTAGCTTTGAGCAAAAGAAGCTCAGAGACAGTGCTTAGGCCCTGAATTTAAGCCCCAGGACTGACAAAAAAAGAAAAAAGGAGCATAAATTACTAAGTTCATAACCCTAGCTAGGCAAAATGCTATGGGATGACTTACTCTTCTTCTAAGGAGAGCAATGATTCTGTGTAGGTACTTCCACCTATGGGAAGATTAGGTTAGAATACTAGCTTAGTTCTTACACTTCCTTAATGAAATAACTTCCTTTTCTTCTTAGCAGATAATCAATTTTACATTATTCCTTAAGCAAGACATGAAAGATCTATAGGCATTAGATAAGTGAGTGATAAATTACCAAGAAACTTCAGACCCAAAGATTCATCAGTGCTTTAAGGTTTATTTATATATGCATTTGCCTCCATCTACTCTTTATAGTACAAGAAATCTGATTCACATGTTTTAAAATTTGTAGCAAATAAACTAGTCAGAAGTTCAAAAAGCCAGGTAATTAAAAATCCAAATGGATGAATAACAGAGGCAGCCAAATGAACATAGCAACTCTCCCTTATCTTAGACTAGACTTAGTATAAGTAGTATAGACTTTCTTTCTCAGTAGAGACTGGACTCTCTAAAAGTGTGGCATCAATTTACACCATCATCAATATTCATCATACAACATGTTTGTCCTTCAGGAGTTTAACAATATATTTTTTGGTCTTTTTTTTTTCCTTTTTTCTTTTTTTTTGCCAGTCCTGGGGTTTGAACTCAGGACCTTGGCACTGTCTCTTAGCTTCTTTCGCTCAAGGCTAGCACTCTACCACTTGAGCCACAGCACCACTTCTGGCTTTTTCTGTTTATATGGTACTGAGGATCGAACCCAGGCTTCAGGCATGCTAGGCAAGCACTCTATGACTAAGCCATATTCCCAGCCCCTATTTTTTGGTCTTAAAGAATCAATACAAGACTCATTACCTGATTTAAGTAACTGTAACCCCTCACCTTTATTAACAATTTTTTAAAAGAAAAAAAGAATCAAGAATATTCCACTTGAATAATCTCTGACTTCTGTAATATCACAGCTATAAGCAAGTAACTATGCCACACAATAGCAGAAGCCACAGAAAATTTCTTTTTCATGAAGTATAATACCAGGAAAAGTCTTTCTCTGCAAACAAATGTAGATGCTTTCTTTCCACAGGCAATTAGTACTATGTAATTGAATTTAGCCCAATTGCCAGAAAGGTCAAAGTCGAATACAAGTTATAACAGGATCCCACCTTGGTTTGGAGTTTGGCACCTTTTTGTCCCTAGAACCTTCTGAGGTAGTTTATTATATTCCTTATCTTTAATTATACCAGATTAAATTGTTTAGAAAATATCCAGGGTATGTAGGTACATGTGTATATATTTCCTATCTCAATTTTCCATTCCCTATCATTTTATAGTCAATGAACAAGTAGGCTAATTTAATAAACACTCCCTTTATTAAAATTTTAATTTAATTATCTTAATTTATTAAATCATTATTAAATTTAATAATAAGCTCTCCTTGTCCATTCTCCACAAAAATTATTGAGTGACCCCATGAGAACAGGAATCTCACACTGCCACACAATGATTATCACCTTTGCAGTAATCCACAGGGTCCTCCTGTTCCTCATCATCTGATCCCAGGATCTCCTCCTCTGGCTCTGGGGGTGTTGGGTCTGGCAGCGGAGGTGGTGGTGGCGGTGGTGGTGGTGGAGGAGGAGGAACTAAAGGAGCTTTCTGTTGAGGCTCCGGCCTGAAATGGCAAGAAAATTTCTACTTACTCATAAATATCGGATTACAAACACATCTGAGTGTTTTTTAATATGGGAAAAATTAAATTTACCAAACACAAACAACAAATGCTAATTAATCTCATTCCACCCATTCTACCTGAATTCAAATCATGTTTTATCATACAAGTCAGAAGGGGAAAACTAGTCTTATTAACTATGGCATAGGTTTAAAGTCATCTTTTCACTCAGAGCTACAATATTTCTTAAGCCCTAACAATACTATGAGATTTCAGTGAAAAGAAAGACTATGCCAAAATGTACAGCTCTATTAGTTAGAAAGCATCTCATAGGAATTAGAAAAAGCCCAAACTGCCCTCAACTTATAAAGAGGTATGCTTTCTCTTGTTTGAAAAATTAGCATTTCCTTCCCATACAAAAAGTAGGAAATTAGGTTTCTAATAACTCAAAAAAAGTGATTAACATATATTGTACCTAAAGTGTAGTATTTTAATTTAATAATTCAGCTATGTATCAATCTTGCTTCAAAAACACTGCCTGAAGGCTGGGGATACAACTCAGTTGTAAAGCATTTGCCTAGCATGTGCAAAACAGTGGGTTTGATTCCCAGCACTTCAAGAAAACAAAACAAAAACACAAATTAAGAAAATATGAACACTACCAAAACAAGAAATTGAGGATAAAAGCAACTGTCAATCAAACACAAATACAATCTATGCACTCTACATGATTTGCAAAGGTCATTACAATCTGTCCTAAAAAAAAGATTAAATGGTGTTTAGTGTACTCCTTTGCAAAGGACAGAAAAATCTACGCTATCAGAAAAAAAGCATTTGGAGGATCAAAGATACAAATTTCATGGTATGTAAAATAACCCACATACATACTAACTACAATTGCATAGATTCCTATTCAGACAATGGGATGCTATAGAATCAAGCTTGCATTTACTATAAAAGTTAATTACTATTTCTAACTACGTCTCCATCGGGAAAACATAAACCTAGTGTCTCAACTTGGATGCCAGAAGCCCATCTGGCTCAAAAGCAGCACTTCCTGATGGTACCACTACTGCTCTCCCTGCACTGGCGCCAGCAGTATAGGTAAAAAGTGAAGCAGGAAAAAATAAGTTGTGACGGGGCAAGGACATTGGGCTGATGAGGTTGTTTTGAGGAGGTAGTATTAGTAGGATGAAATGGGGGGTTCCATAGTTGCAAGAAGCAAGGAGATTCCAAGTGGCATCAATATAGAGATCATGTGCCACATTTTGCCTGCTCAGATATATTTTCTAAAGGCATCTAAATTTCCTTTGAAGTCAGAACTGCTTTTTGTGCAATGGAAATATGAGTGCCCATCTTTCTTCTCTTCAGTGCAGCACAGTATAGAGCACACAGCCAAAGCTTGCTTACCAGCCTTAAAACCCTGACAAGGTTGGCTGGCAGAGGAGGGGATACTTGCTCATGCTTGGCTACTCTGAAGGACCAGAGGAACTTCCCTGACCACTGCCCTAAATTGGAGCTCAAAACCCTTACCAAATTTGAAACTCTCAATAGCCATTATTATGCTGATTTTAGTATATGGTAACTGTAGCTAAAGTAGGTGGCAAGCCATCAGAAACCCAAACTGACAAAATTGAAGAAAGAGGAGAAAGCTGAGAGGTACAAAAATACTAAGCTATAAGAAAAGAGGATGGATTCCCATAACATGAAAACTGAAAGGCAAATTCTAGTAGGAATAAACAATAGTTAGAAGTAAAACAATGACTTATATTGATCTCAAAGTCACAGCTCCCTAGGTAATAGACATTAAGAGTGTGATATGGATAGCATTCTGAGATAGCATCAGTCATAACTGCACACTAAAAGGGTAAAATAAGCACAAAGACACATCACTTCCATAAGACATTAAAAAACCCCAACAGGAATTACGAGAAGGGCAACAATCTGGCAGGTATATGCTCATTTTCCTTTAAACACATATGACCTGACAGAAGTCGAACAGTGCCAGGTTATAAGGGAGTTTTGCAGAGTAGACAGGAGAGGAACTGCCGACTCAATCTTCTCCTGAGGAAAGAGAATGGGTCTGAAAAGCATGCATTACCATTCTTTATGTGTGTAACCAAAGTCTACACAATAACTTTGCTCAGAGATACTTTGAAATCTGGCTATTTCTTCCTAACCCAGAAATTTTCTATTAAAAAAACAACAACAGCCTAGCTACTCAGGAGGCTGAGATCTGAGGATCGTGGTTCAAAGCCAGCCCAGGCAGGAAAGTCCAATAAACCACTAGAAAACTGGAAGTGGTGCTGTGTGGCTCAAGCAGTAGAGCGCTCGCCTTGAGCTGAAGAGCTGAGGGACAGCACCCAAGCCCAGAGTTCAAGACCTGCAACCGACCAAAAAACAAAACAAAACAAAAGAACAGTAAATTCTCTAAATTTAAAATGTTCTTCATTCATTATAGAAACCTGCTAATAGGGAGGCGGGAGGGGAAAGAAGGCGGTTCCTGCTCTAGAGTATAATGCTTGGTATTACTAACACTTAAGCCAAGTAATTCATTGCTATAGGGACTGCTTGGTGTACTGTAGAATACTTGGCCTTTAGCCAATACATCCTTGGCCTTTAGCTACTGTGTGTCAGTAGCACCCTCCCCTCAAGTTGTGATCTAAAAGACAAAAAATGCAAATTATTTCCTAGGGAATTACTGCACTACTAGTATTTTCTTTTTTTTTCCTTTTTTTTTTTAATTGTAAAAATACTGTACAGAGGGGTTACAATTACACGGGCAAGGTAATGAGTACATTTCTTATCAAGCATTGTTGCCTCCTCCTTTGTTTCCCTTTCCCATCCCTTCCCATCCCCCCGCCCCCACTACTAGTATTTTCTATATAGCAGCTTGATGAATGGTCTGTATCCGTGAATAGGAACAACAAACCAATTTTCACTGTCCATTTTCTCTCACTTGAGGCACTCAGGTACCTTCATTTTAATGTGGGCTTTCATTTTTTACCCAATCACTGATCTGCCCACATCACATAACAAAATTCCTAAATACTTCGCATCTTCCAGTGAGGACTACAATGAACAGGCAAGTAGAAAGCTTCCCAAAAGCCACTTCTAGCCGGTGTTTCAGGCACCCGTGTTTCATTCCTGTAATCCTAGCTACTCAGGAGGCTGAGATCTGAGAATTGCAGTTCAAAGCCAGCAGCAAAGTCCGTGAGACTCTCATTCCTAGTAAATCACCGGAAAACCGGAAGTGGTACTGTGGCTCAAGTGGTAGAGCGCTTGCCTTGAGCTGAGGAGCTAAGGAATAGCGTCCAGAACTCAAGTCCCAGAACACACACACACACACACACACACGCACACACACACGCACACGCACACGCACACGCACACACGTGCACCAGTTCTACCAAGTTAAAGGGTTAAGTAAGGATACCACAATGCACAGAAAGGTATAGTTAAGTTAATGTAATAGTTCAACATCTATCTTATCTAAACAACATGCACTGTGCTGAACAATACAGTGGTTATAGGCCACAGAAAGGTACTGAACACAAAAAATGTGGCAAGTTCAAAGAGACATGTGTTTTACATTTAAAATATTTGATTTTATACTTGATTTCCAAGGCTTAATACAAAAAATGGTAAAAATATTAATAATCTTGCATTTATCAGGTTAGTTTTTATACATGAGTTAAAGTATATTACCGACCTTAATTTCTCTTTGACTCTTTATACCTTTTTTTAAATGTGGCTACTTTTATAAGAAGACTTAAGCTGTATTTCTACTGAACAGTATTACTTTAGATCTTCTGGGAAATATGGTACAGATCTATGTGACTGCCTTAGGAGAAAAATGCTATTATGAACTATATGGGGTAGCAATTTGGCCTCATATTCAAAGTCCCTCATGTTCACACAAAATCATATTCCTATGAAGATATTGTTTTTTCTAATATATCTTAAATGACTTACTTCATAACAATTGATACCAATCCTCAAATCATTATGCTCTTTATAGCATACAGTATGCTCTTTATAGCATACAGTTCAAATACTGTAGATATGACTCTTTTTCAAGCCGTTCAAATCCTGTTATGACCTAAAATGTAGAAAAGCGTAAGTTTCTCTTAGGGGCAGGCATATAGATCTGTGCTAGCCTCTCCTGGAAGATAGCTTCTTCTTTTTTATTTATTTTTTATTGTGAAAATACTGTACAGAGGGGTTACAATTACATGGGCAAGATAATGAGTACATTTCTTTTTTTGTTTTTGTTTTTTGTTTTTGTCCGTTGTGGGGCTTGAACTCTGGGCCTGAACACTGTCCCTCAGCTCTTCAGCTCCAGGCTAGTGCTCTACCACTCGAGCTACAGAGCCACTTCTGTTTTTCTGGTGTTTTATTGGAAATAAGAGTTTCACAGACTTTCCTGCCAGGGACGGCTTTGAACTTCGATCCTCAGATCTCAGCCTCCTGAGTAGCTAGGATTACAGGCATGAGCCACCAGAGCCTGGCTATGAGTACATTTCTTATCAAGCATTGTAGCCTCCTCCTTTGTTAGAAGATAGCTTCTTCTAAAGTACTACAAAGCCTTATTAAAGCTCAACTGAGGGCTGGGAAGGTGGCTCAGTGGTAGAGCACTTGCATGAGGCCCTGGGTTCAATTCCTCAGCACCACATAAGCAAAAAGGAAAAAGCCAGAAGTGACACTGTGGCTCAAGTGGTAGAGTGCTAGCCTTGAGCTGAAGAGCTGAGGGACAGCGCCCAGGCCCAGAGTTCAGGCCCCACGACCGGACTCAAAAAAAAAAAAAAAAACTCAACTGAATTTTAGACTCTAAAGGGTCAAGAGGCAACAAGTTACCTCACTATATACATAATCCTGAATCAAACATCAACAGATTTCAAAAAGGGGTAACTTCCAATTATCTTAAAGAAAACCTTCAAAAAGCTATTTCAGGGGTCAGCCACTGTGGCACATGCCTGCAACTATTCAGAAGGCAGATCTTG